ACTTGTGTCGCTAAAGTTTCGTCGGAACGAATTTACGGAAAATTAACTAACGAACGGAGACGTAACAATATTTTTAGAATATGATTTTTTTCATCATTCTTGATTGACTAATAATTAATATAAATTTTATACAACACTGTAGGAAAACTCTGCGACTTTCATGTACAATAATCGTTTGTTTGTTTATTGTTAAGCACAAAGTTACACAATGGACTATCTATGCTGTGCCTACCACGGGTATCGCAATCCGATTTTTAGCGTTATAAGCCTTCAAACTTTTCGCTGAACCACTGGGAAGCACAAAATAACCGAAAAGTTTTTGTGGTAGCCCTAACTGTGCAACAATATTTAGTGTTACTTCAGGTTGAAAGTAACTTTATATAAATTAACATAAGTTATAACAGTATTAAAACAAGTTAATATGCGAAACATATTCTAGAAATGATCAATAAATTTATATAGGCGACTCTGATTCAGCTGTCTATTTTATAGCTGGTGTTTTTGAGGTTAAATAATTTTGTGTGTATTTAATATAACGCTACAAATTGGGTTTGATATCTATGATGTACAAAGCACAAGTAGCCCATTGTGTAGCTTTTATGCTGAACTACAAACAAACAAAAGCATTCTTTAAAAAATAAAAAAACACTTATAAGTGTGTGTGTGTGTGTTCGTGCAATTTATTTTCAACATATTCATTCACCCACTTATATTTTCAAAATAGGCTTTACAATATTAGAAAATATGTCCATTTCGTCCCAAACGTTCATACGTGTATAGCATAACAGGTATCTTTGTTTCATTTACCTTACGCCGGATATTGATCTATTACATTCCAATTGTAGACTGCGGCACTGGTTATTTCTATCGCAGAAAACCAGAAATAAAACATCATTTTCAGAGGAAAATATATATATAGAATTAAGCCTTTTTATTGTGTGTTAGTAAATTTAGTTTTATGAACTTTATTATCTCAACCCCTTTCATAGGTCCTACCAGGTTTATACGTTGGAAATCTACGAGACTCAAAGGACCAGGAGCAACTAAGAGAAAACAACATATCTCACATAATTTCTATTCACGACAATGCCAAGAAAGTGCTTGAGGTAGGCTGCTATTTATTTAGAAATAATTAAAGTGCAATAAACTTAGAAAAAAGTAGTATAAATATAAAACCCGTTTGTGCATGGATTTCTGAAAAGCAAGTTATAATTTCCCATCACCGGTACATCCAAATTTCACCATGATTTTTATTAAAACCAGCAATATAGGCCTGCAAAGGAATGCAACATGAACGCTCGTTATTCGTCCGATGCCTATTTTAGAGCCCATATAAGCATCTACTGGCTCTTTGCCCTTGTGTTTTAACGACTAGAAGATCCATAAAGTATCTTTAATTGGACTCACAGAGCTTAAGCCCTGACAGCCTAACTCTCTGGGAGACTTGAACTATGCACCTAAAACAAAATGAAACAGACAGTGATATCTAGTAACACCATACTATAATAAAACACACTCTTGTTTTATGTAGGTAGCGCTGTATATTTTCCACTATGTGTGGAAACTAGGTGTAATGATTTTATCAACAGGAAATGTGCACACGACGTTACTGTTGTTATTCCATTTTATATTTTAAGTATCTATAAAACAATGGAATACTTAGGTACAAAATATTTAGTTTTGAAATAATTCAAAATAAACGTAAAAAAGTCGAATTTTTCGTGTATCAGTTAACTTAAAAAACAGTAGAAGAGAAAACTGTTTAGGGTTTAGGCTAAAGCTTATCGATGAGTTTGCAATTGTGCTGACTCCCAGAAAATCAAAATTCGCGATTTTATCTGTAACTGCATTTTCTGTTTCACTAGGAAAGCTGTGCCAGTGTGTATGTATTGTTTTAAAATATCTCGAAATTGTATATAAATGCATATTTATCAAAGCAAAATAATCTACATAATACCTAAAGAGTAGATAATTAAGATCATGTTGCAACCCTTGTCTCTAGTGGTTTATTAAATAAAAGAATGAGAGAGATATTTTATGAACGCTTTTAAATACGATATATTAACGTAGGTGGCAGAACGGGATTATTGAATGAAACACATCAGAGTGGATATTTGTAGTCGAATTTCTTATCATTTTGAAGATATTTTGCATTCGACTCAGGACGTTAAACTTAATATCTTAAATGCAGACAGTAGTGTAAAATCTTTGTTTCAATTTCCAACTGCTACAGAATAAAAATTTGTATGTTGGCAAGTACTTCAAAGTTCAAAATTAGGATATGAGCAAAAACAAGATAGTTTGGACTCGTACACGTTTCGATAACCTAGCCTCCTTCAGAGGGGGCGAGTTTCACTGGTACAAATCAACTTTCCATTATATGTGTATGGTAGTGCTTTAGTTCCACTGACTTATGCAAATATTGGAAATGTTAGGCCTACTTATGAAATGCCATTGCTGGTTCTATTGTTACGTATCTGCTTGTTTGATAATTTCCCGTAGAAATTCTTTCCGAGAAACTTCAGCGATACAAGTCTTTTCTTAATTAAACTAGTTTATTCTTTCTCGTTACAAACTTTGTAATACACT